ACCACCGCCTCTACCCCTACCACGCCTCTCTACCACCAGCCTCTACCACCGCCTCTACCACCGCCTCTACCCCCACCGCCTCTACCACCGCCTCTACACGCCTTACCCGCCTCTACCACCCGCCTCTACCACCGCCTCTACCACCGCCTCTACCACCGCCTCTACCACCGCCTCTACCACCGCCTCTACACCGCCTCTACTACACCGCCTACCACCGCTCTACCACCGCCTCTACCACCGCCTCTACCACCGCCTCTACCACCGCCTCTACCACCGCCTCTACCACCGCCTCTACCACCGCCTCTACCACCGCCTCTACCACCGCCTCTACCACCGCCTCTACCACCGCCTCTACCACCGCCTCTACCACCGCCTCTACCACCGCCTCTACCACCGCCTCTACCACCGCCTCTACCACTGCCTCTACCACCGCCTCTACCACCGCCTCTACCACTCCAGTCGCACTCAATCTACAAGCACCAAACACAATGAATTATTGTGAAATGTTTGGAAGAGCAGGGAGACTAATGTTCACTCCAGCATAAACAATGCCACACTGACGATGTGTCAACCACTCCCTCGTATTTTTGTACAACTTCCGTCTTCAATTATATCGTATTTTTTTTTTATTATTATTATATTATTATTATTACTATTGTTATTATTAGCAGTAGCAGAAATGTTCGATTCTTTGCTGTGTTCAAAAGTAAACACATGATGTCACCTTCCAAAACCTGTCTGAATAGCCATTCCAATATGCAGTCATGGATGGGTTTACATTATTTATACTGTAGTTTAATAGCAAATAATGAACAAACAAAACACTCACCACACTGAGTGGTGGGAGGGCTGGCTGCCAGTTGCGGGGGTCGGAGGGAGGGTAGTAGGGACTCGCAGGTGGCGGGAAACTTGAATATGATTTGGTGGCTGGGAATTTGGCGGTTGGGAATTCGCGAATGTGTGAAGCCCGCGAAAACTGAAAACGTGAATGTTGAGGGAGACCTGTATACACACCCCTCTGGTATTCTTCTATTTTCTTTCTAGTTCTTGTTTGTTTCCTCTTATCTACATGGGGAAGTGGAACAGAATTCTTCCTCCGTAAGCCATGCGTGTTGTAAGAGGCAACTAAAATGCCAGGAGCAAGGGGCTAGTAACCCCTTCTCCTGTATAAATTACTAAATTTAAAAGAGAAACTTTAATTTTTTTGGGGGGGGCCACCCTGCCTTGGTGGGATATGGCCGGTGTGTTGAAAGAAAGATTTTTGGGTGTCTGGAATGGGATTAACTGTATTTACATTATTTCTTATGGGAAATATCGATTCAGTTTTCGCACGTTTTAGTTTTAGAATGACCTTCTGGAACGGATTAACTTCGAAAACCTGGGTTCCACTGTATATGAAACTCCTTGAAGCATGGTGTAAGATGAATGTCACTCCACTGCAGTGGAGGGACACTCAGGGAGTGACATCTGATGATCATGCACTGCCTTGGATTTATTTTTCACTGTTAGTAATAAACATGTCTGTATCTGTTTGGAATGGTCTTGATAAAAGGCTGAAGGATTGAACACATCATCTCTAGGTTGAGGTACTGATTACCTGGAGTTTACCTGGAGAGAGTTCCGGGGGTCAATGCCCCCGCGGCCCGGTCTGTGACCAGGCCTCCTGGTGGATCAGAGCCTGATCAACCAGGCTGTTGCTGCTGGCTGCACGCAAACCAACGTACGAGCCACAGCCAGGCTGATCAGGAACTGACTTTAGGTGCTTGTCCAGTGCCAGCTTGAAGACTGCCAGGGGTCTGTTGGTAATCCCCTTTGTGTGTGCTGGGAGGCAGTTGAACAGTCTCGGGCCCCTGACACTTACTGTATGGTCTCTTAACGTGCTAGTGACACCCCTGCTTTTCATTGGGGGGATGGTGCATCGTCTGCCAAGTCTTTTGCTTTCGTAGTGAGTGATTTTCGTGTGCAAGTTCGGTACTAGTCCCTCTAGGATTTTCCAGGTGTATATAATCATGTATCTCTCCCTCCTGCGTTCCAGGGAATACAGGTTTAGGAACCTCAAGCGCTCCCAATAATTGAGGTGTTTTATCTCCGTTATGCGCGCCGTGAAAGTTCTCTGTACATTTTCTAGGTCGGCAATTTCACCTGCCTTGAAAGGTGCTGTTAGTGTGCAGCAATATTCCAGCCTAGATAGAACAAGTGACCTGAAGAGTGTCATCATGGGCTTGGCCTCCCTAGTTTTGAAGGTTCTCATTATCCATCCTGTCATTTTTCTAGCAGATGCGATTGATACAATGTTATGGTCCTTGAAGGTGAGATCCTCCGACATGATCACTCCCAGGTCTTTGACGTTGGTGTTTCGCTCTATTTTGTGGCCAGAATTTGTTTTGTACTCTGATGAAGATTTAATTTCCTCATGTTTATCATATCTGAGTAATTGAAATTTCTCATCGTTGAACTTCATATTGTTTTCTGCAGCCCACTGAAAGATTTGGTTGATGTCCGCCTGGAGCTTTGCAGTGTCTGCAATGGAAGACACTGTCATGCAGATTCGGGTGTCATCTGCAAAGGAAGACACGGTGCTGTGGCTGACATCCTTGTCTATGTCGGATATGAGGATGAGGAACAAGATGGGAGCGAGTACTGTGCCTTGTGGAACAGAGCTTTTCACCATAGCTGCCTCGGACTTTACTCTGTTGACGACTACTCTCTGTGTTCTGTTAGTGAGGAAATTATAGATCCATCGACCGACTTTTCCTGTTATTCCTTTAGCACGCATTTTGTGCGCTATTATGCCATGGTCACACTTGTCGAAGGCTTTTGCAAAGTCTGTATATATTACATCTGCATTCTTTTTGTCTTCTAGTGCATTGAGGACCTTGTCGTAGTGATCCAATAGTTGAGACAGACAGGAGCGACCTGTTCTAAACCCATGTTGCCTGGGTTGTGTAACTGATGGGTTTCTAGATGGGTGGTGATCTTGCTTCTTAGGACCCTTTCAAAGATTTTTATGATATGGGATGTTAGTGCTATTGGTCTGTAGTTCTTTGCTGTTGCTTTACTGCCCCCTTTGTGGAGTGGGGCTATGTCTGTTGTTTTTAGTAACTGTGGGACGACCCCCGTGTCCATGCTCCCTCTCCATAGGATGGAAAAGGCTCGTGATAGGGGCTTCTTGCAGTTCTTGATGAACACAGAGTTCCATGAGTCTGGCCCTGGGGCAGAGTGCATGGGCATGTCATTTATCGCCTGTTCGAAGTCATTTGGCGTCAGGATAACATCGGATAGGCTTGTGTTAATCAAGTTTTGTGGCTCTCTCATAAAAAATTCATTTTGATCTTCGACTCTCAGTCTGGTTAGTGGCTTGCTAAAAACTGAGTCATACTGGGACTTGAGTAGCTCACTCATTTCCTTGCTGTCATCTGTGTAGGACCCATCTTGTTTAAGTAGGGGCCCAATACTGGACGTTGTTCTCGATTTTGATTTGGCATACGAGAAGAAATACTTTGGGTTTCTTTCGATTTCATTTATGGCTTTTAGTTCTTCCCGCGATTCCTGATTACCTCAAACTCACATCTTCCACCATTTTTCTTCTGTACTGGATTAATAAAGCTGGTGGATGACAAATGTTTCCACAATAAAGATACAGGTCGGCCATCACTAATCCAGCCTCATTGGGATCTGTAGTGTGCCGAATTAGTGAGATTGCCAGATTACAAAGTGGTTAGGTTAGAATACACTTAATTAACTTATCAACAGAGACTCTTTCTGCTACATCTTCCTCATTATCATCACTGCTTTCTCCTCCATTGGCTTGCTGCTGTGGATTTACAACCATCTGCACAATTTCTGAGTCAGTATAATGATGAAATTTGAGTTAGTATAATGATTTGAGTCACTATAACCGATTGCTGGATAGTGATGGACGACCTGTACCCAAGTGTTCCAAATGTATTTTTTAACAACTTGTAGGTTTTTATATACCAATAATATAATAATGCAATTAGTGTCTTTAAATTATTATAAATAAATTGGGCAGATATGTATTCTCCATGGACATCTCTTGTGCTTATGTTATTGGTACAGTGTTTCTTGCTTGCACAGCAGACTCATACCTGCCACTTAAATTTGGGTGTGTACAGTTGTGAATGGCTGTGTATCCAGGAATGTTGAATATGTTTAATATATCTGGCTTATGCAAGTCTCTATTAGTATTTTGAAATAAAAGTTATTACTCAATTACTAAGACAGTACTGATATCTTTATGTTTACTTAGGATATTCTTAGCAAGACTGGTTGCCTAATAATTATAGTTTTTGTTGTATGAGCTTGTTAATAAGTTAAGCCTTGGATCAATGATATGCATAAATGAAACTAGTAAAATATAAAGAAGGAGTAAGTATAACAAAATTCTTGCAAGATTATAGTGATATTGAAAGCTATATTAATGTTAGAGGATATAAGTGTATTGTAAAAATTAAAAACTAATGAAGAATAAGATAAAGCAAAAAAGAAATACATTTTTAAACAAAGTAAGATAACAAAATAATTAATGATATTCAGATTATCTTCCTTTTCAAATTATTGGGAGACTATACAGGTGCGTGAACTGTGGCGTGCGTGAACTGTGGAGCTTAGTTATGTTTAGTTGACAGACATGTAGGTCAATGATTGCTTTGTTCTGTCTTGTATACACAGTGTCACTGAGGAAATTATTAAGATTCTGATCACAAGTGATAACATTGACTTTTTTCTGTATAGGATTTTTTACTGGTCAATGTAATATAAACTCACTATCTGGAAAAATAATTAAAAGATGAACAGAATATTTCAGCCTCTGTAGCCGAGATATTTCATGGAAAATATTTTTTATTATTTTTTCCAAACAGTGAATTTACATTACATATTTGTGTACAGTATAAATAGAATTATATATAATATACCAGTATTTGTTCAACTGTATACAACTATAGACAAAGGAATGTCTATAACTATCAATGAATTACCTTGTCTTTAGCAGAACGAATAAGAATAATTTCTTCCCTGAGTGCAACATGACAAACATGAATAGGACGAGCAGCAAGGTGAGCCATCATCAAAGCAGCAGCCGTGGTCCGACCTTCAGCATGGACGCACACTGGCACACTCGACGGCCATGATTCTAAATGCTAGAGAGGAAAAACAGAGTTAAGTCTGGGCTAGGCATTTTACACTAAGAAAGATGATCAATTTTCCCAGTGTCTTACTGTAGATGACAAGTTTGACTTGCCTTGAGCCATGTTGTTGTGTCATCAAGCCTAAGTGTTGTGAAGGTCTCATTAAGGTACATCTTGAGTGCTGCTGCTCGAGGGGCCAGCTCCGCCACAGAGGAATGATTGTCACATGATGCCCCCACAAAGATACTGTAGTCACATCTAGCACCTCTGCTAGCAAGCTATGGAAAAAGAACAGAGTTATTACTTAGTTTTTAACAAATATAAAAAACTAGTACAGTGGACCCTCGACATTCGATACTAATCCGTTCCTGAGAGCTATCGAATGTCGAAAATATCGAAAGTCGAATTAATTTTCCCCATAAGAAATAATGGAAATCAAATTAATCCGTGCAAGACACCAAAACTATGAAAAAAAAAATTTTACCACATGAAATATTAAGTTTAATGCAATAGAATAATTACAATAACAACAATAACAATAGATTAATAACAATAGAATAATTGACACTTACCTTTAATGAAGATCTGGTGATGATTGATGGGATGGGAGGAGGGGTGAGGTGTTAGTGTTTAGAAGGGGAATCCCCTTCCATTAGGACTTGAGGTAGCAAGTCCTTTTCCGGGGTTACTTCCCTTCTTCTTTTAATGCCACTAGGACCAGCTTGAGAGTCACTGGACTTCTGTCGCACAACATATCTGTCCATAGAGGCCTGTACCTCTCGTTCCTTTATGACTTTCCTAAAGTGGTTCACAACATTGTCAGTGTAATAGTCACCAGCACGGCTTGCAATAGCTGTGTTAGGGTGATTGTCATCAAAAAAGGTTTGCACTTTAAGCCACATTGCACACATTTCCTTAATCTTTGAAGTAGGTAACTTCAATTTCTCTCTCCCCTCCTCCGAAGTAGTTTCCTCAGGTCTGGCCTCTTGCTGTTGAAGATGATCTAGCAGCTCATCAGTGGTTAATTATTCATTGTCCTCCTCCACCAACTCTTCCACATCCTCCCCACTAACCTCCAACCCCAAGGACTTCCCCAATGCGACAATGGATTCCTCAATTGGCATAGGATTCTCAGGGTTAGCCTCAAACCCTTCAAAATCCCTTTTGTCTACACATTCTGGCCACAGTTTTTTCCAAGCAGAGTTCAAGGTCCTCTTAGTCACTTCCTCCAAAGCCTTACCTATGAGGTTTATACAACTGAGGATATTAAAGTGATCCTTCCAAAACTCTTTTAGAGTCAGTCGAGTTTCTGTGGTCACTACAAAGCACTTTTGAAACATAGATTTTGTGTACAGTTTCTTGAAGTTGGAAATGACCTGCTGGTCCATGGGCTGCAGGAGAGGAGTGGTATTAGGAGGCAAAAACTTGACCTTAATGAAGCTCATGTCCCCAGAAAGTCGCTCTGCCAAGTCTGTAGAAAGACCAGGGGCATTGTCTAATACCAGGAGGCACTTAAGATCTAATTTCTTTTCAATTAGGTAATTTTTCACATTAGGGGCAAATGCATGGTGTAACCAGTCATAGAAAAAGTCCCTAGTGACCCATGCCTTACTGTTTGCCCTCCACAGCACACACAAATTAGCCTTGAGGATATTCTTTTGCCTGAACGCTCTTGGAGTTTCTGAGTGATACTTTTCCTCCTGAGTAATGTAGGTCCTGCTTGGCAGTTTCTTCCAAAATAGGCCTGTTTTGTCACAATTAAACACTTGTTCAGGTTTCAATCCTTCAGCCTCTATGTACTCGTTGAATTCATGCACATATTTTTCAGCCGCTTTGTGGTCCGAACTGGCAGCCTCACCATGCCTTACCACACTGTGTAAGCCACTACAATTCTTAAATCTTTCAAACCAACCTTTGCTGGCCTTAAATTCACTCACATCACCACTAGTTGCAGGCAATTTCTTTATCAAATCATCATGCAACTGTCTAGCCTTTTCACAAATGATCGCTTGAGAGATGCTATCTCCTGCTATCTGTTTTTCATTTATCCACACCAATAACAGTCTCTCAACATCTTCTAACACTAGCGATCTCCGTTTTGAAAACAAAGTTGCACCTTTTGCAACAACAGCTTCCTTGACTGCTGTTTTCCTGCTCACTATAGTAGAGATGGTTGATTGGGGTTTACTATACAACCTGGCCAGCTCAGACACACGCACTCCACTTTTGTACTTTGCAATTATCTCTTTCATTTCAATAGTCATTAGCATCTTTTTTCTCGAAGGCTTGGCACTAGAAGCTTTCTTGGGGCCCATGGTTACTTATTTTGCAGAAACAAGCACCAAAAACAGTGATAATATGGAATGTATCGAATGTATCCTTAGATGCATGCACACTGGCACACACGGGGCAGTTCAGGCCACACGTGGACACGTCTCGTATAAATCGTATCGAATGTCAGGTTTTCCATCGAATGTGGAGGCGAAATTTTTGCGTTAAAATGCATCGAATGTCGGATTTATCGAATGTCGATGCTATTGAATGTCGGGGGGTCCACTGTATTACATACTAAAAGCTTTGAATATAAAAAATGATTGAAGGTCTTCCTTGCTTGAAATGACAGATACTTTAACTCATTACATACCACACAATAATCTGTTGACCTGGCTGCCAAGATTGATAATTGCTTAAAGTGCAAGTATTAGTTTAAATACCTTTTGTCGCACATTTTATGTGGTATTTGTGAGACTGGCACTGTATTGTATTGATGTGCTACAACAGGACATATTTACATATAACACTGTAAAGCTCTGTGTAGTGTGTGTGTGTGTGTGTGTGTGTGTGTGTGTGTGTGTGTGTGTGTGTGTGTGTGTGTGTGTGTGTGTGTGTGTGTGTGTGTGTGTGTACTCACCTAATTGTACTCACCTAACTGTGGTTGCAGGGGTCGAGACTCAGCTCCTGGTCCCGCCTCTTCACTGATCGCTACTAGGTCCTCTCTCTCTCTCTGCTTCCTGAGCTGTATCATACCTCTTCTTAAAACTATGTATGGTTCCTGCCTCCACTATTTCACTTGCTAGGCTATTCAACTTCCTGATAACTCTATGACTGAAGAAATACTTCCTAACGTCCCTGTGACTCGTCTGAGTCTTCAGCTTCCAGTTGTGACCCCTTGTCCCTGTGTCCCCTCTCTGGAACATCCCATCTCTGTCCACCTTGTCTATTCCCCGCAGTATCTTGTATGTCGTTATCATGTCTCCCCTGACCCTTCTGTCCTCCAGTGTCGTCAGTCCGATCTCCCTCAACCTTTCCTCGTACGACATTCCCCTGAGCTCTGGGACTAGCCTTGTTGCAAACCTTTGTACTTTCTCTAACTTCTTGACGTGCTTGACCAGGTGTGGGATTCCAGACTGGTGCTGCATACTCCAGTATGGGCCTAACATACACAGTGTACAGTGTCTTGAACGATTCCTTATTAAGGTATCGGAATGCTATTCTCAGGTTTGCCAGGCGCCCGTATGCTGCAGCAGTTATTTGGTTGATGTGTGCCTCCAGTGATGTGCTCGGTGTTATGGTCACCCCAAGGTCTTTCTCCCTGAGTGAGGTCTGTAGTCTTTGTCCACCTAGCCTATACTCTGTCTGCGGTCTTCTTTGCCCCTCCCCAATCTTCATGACTTTGCATTTGGCTTGATTGAATTCAAGAAGCCAGTTACTGGACCACATGTCCAGCCTGTCCAGGTCTCTTTGCAGTCCTGCCTCATCCTCATCCGATTTAATTCTTCTCATCAACTTCACATCATCTGCGAATAGGGACACTTCAGAGTCTATTCCTTCCATCATGTCGTTCACATATATCAAAAATAGCACTGGCCCTAGAACTGACCCCTGCAGGACCCCGCTCGCCACAGGCGCCCACTGTGATACCTCTTCACGTACCATGACTCGTTGCTGCCTCCCTGTCAGGTATTCCCTGATCCATTGCAGTGCCCTCCCTGTTACATGCGCCTGATCCTCCAGCTTCTGCACTAATCTCTTGTGGGGAACTGTGTCAAAGGCCTTCCTGCAGTCTAGGAAAACGCAATCTACCCACCCCTCTCTCTCGTGTCTTACTTCTGTTACCTTGCGTGCGTGCGTGCGTGCGTGTGTGTGTGTGTGTGTGTGTGTGTGTGTGTGTGTGTGTGTGTGTGTGTGTGTGTGTGTGTGTGTGTGTGTGTGTGTGTGTGTGTGTGTGTGCGCGCGCGGTGCGTTCACCTAATTGTACTCGCCTAATTGTGGTTGCAGGGGTCGAGACACAGCTCCTGGCCCCGCCTCTTCACTGATCGCTACAAGGTCCTCTCTCTGCTTCCAGAGCTTTGTTATACCTCGTCTTTAAGCTATGTATGGTTCCTGCCTCCACTACATCACTTGTCAGGCTATTCCACTTCCTGATGACTGACTGAAGAAATACTTCCTAACATCCCTATGACTCGTCTGAGTCTTCAGCTTCCAACTGTGACCCCTTGTTCCTGTGTCCCCTCTCTGGAACAACCTGTCTCTGTCTACCTTATCTATTATTTTGTATGTCGTTATCATGTCTCCCCTGTCCTGTGTGTGTGTGTTCAATTGTACTCACCTAATTGTGGTTGCAGGGGTCGAAACTCAGCTCCTGGCCCCACCTCTAAAGTGATCGCTCCCTCCTTGAGCTTTGTCATACCTCGTCTTAAAGCTATGTATGGTTTCTGCCCCCATTACATTACTTGCTAGGCTATTCCACTTCCTGATGACTATAACTAAAGAAATATAACTTTAATATCGATGAATGTGTTAATATTTTCTTACAAAAAAACCAAAACCTCTATAACAAGCATTGCCCAATAAAAACTAAGCAGATCACAGCAAAGCGACTAAACAGCCCCTGGTTTACAAACAGCATCCTCAAATCTATCGATAAAAACATCTATATTAAAAACAGCACAGAATGGGTCTAATAACAAAGGATCTCACAAAACATTACTCATCAATACTAACCAATCTAATAAGGTCAAAAAAATTGTATTATGAAAATAGATTTCATGACAAAAGATATGAAAAAGACCTGGAAAACCTTACCTGAAATTCTAGGAACAAAAAAGCTGCCACAAAACAGATTGATTAACTAGACTAAACCAGATGAACCTCTCCTACAGCCAACTGATTCTGCCAACAAGGCGCTCCCTTTACAGGCGACGGAAAAGAATAACAGAACGGCTAAAAGAGGTCAATATATCTGAAATGCGTAGGGAGACACTGGTCAGAGAAATAG